CTATAGTCAGAATAAAAACACTATAGTTATTGCTCTGCTCCTGTATGATTTGAGTACCCTTCCATCGCTGATGGAGATAACTTTAAGATTCTTTGTTACAAATCATGAAACAAAATGAAGGGGATTCTGCCCATAGCAGCATTTCTCATTCAATTTTAAAAGCAGGGGATATCTTTGAGCCGACTCAGCTATTACCGATTATCAATTTGGCAAGACGGAAACATCCGTATAAAATATATCCCCTAACTTTTAGAGACTTCATGGATTTCAAATATTTGTCTAAGAATTTTAGGATTGTATCTATACATACTACAGTTGCAGGAAGAATCCTAACTGGACAGACATCATGGAAGTTAGAGTTAATAAGCTGCACTAATAAAAAAATATTTTTCAAAACGATCCATTTAACAGAAGATTCCATTCAATTGAAAAGAGGCGCAGCAAATAGTGAAATGTCATGCCACTATACGCCTCATCAATAAATATTTCTAACAAGAAATATAATGACCTCTTTGCTTTATGTAACGGCAAACATCCCGTCATAAGACTACCGGAAATAGAAATTTTATGAAGACATACCTCATGATAAGATTTAGGCTTAGTTTTATTATATAGATTTTGAGGATTTTTTATATTTTTTATTTTTTTTTATTATATTATCATTATGTATGGGTCTTTTCGTCGTATCTTCCGTCGCATCATTAAAGAATTATTTTTGATAACACGAAATGACGAATGTGACATATCTATTTTTTTCTCAAAACTTACTCAGCATACAACCATTTTGCTAGCTGCATTTGAAAACTGGTAGATGACCTATACTTCGAAATTGAGTCATTTATTTTGTGAGTACATCTGATCAAAAGAAATTTTTTTTCCTTTAACATTTTTGTGGTAAAATTAAAGTAACAAAGTTATAGCCCTTTAGAAGTTTGAGTACCGCCCTGTCTCAATAATAATATTATGTGCTCGTGTATTGGAACAACGGATATAATCCGCCTTATCGGTTCATCGCATCGGAAACAAAAAAGCGAAAGAATTTGAAACGCTTATCACGATGTTTTTACTACAATGTGTCAGTCGGTAACGCGTGAGTGAATAGTGGTGTTTATTGCGTGGTTCAAACGAAGTAAAAAATGGCACATGTTTACGAAAATGCTGAACTTGTGGACATGATTCTTATTTAGGGGGGGGAGTCTTTACAAAATGCTGCCGCGGCATCACGGATTTATGCGGATCGGTTTCCCAATCGAGTGCAACCAACCCCTCGTGCCTTTGTTAATGTAGTACAACGGGCTCGTGAATCAGGTGACTTAAGACCTCACAGGGGAGGGCATGCCGGTGCTCCAAGACTGCACGATCAAATACAGATCCGCACTGAAATACTTGTCGGGAGGATACTTTATAAAACAAGGTAACATTTTTTTTTTATTTTTTTTTATTTTTACACACATTTTGGTTTATCTCCCTTCTACAATCATTATCTGAAAATTAATTACTCAACTTCAAAATCACCCTGTATATTCTCAAAGAGATCCTTTTTTCTTGTTTTCGCTCTCCTGTAAAATTATGAAAATTTCAGTTACGACACGCGTTTTGGGGGACGAATTGGCTCCTTGACAAAGCTCTGCCTCCTTTCGAAACCGGATATACGCTGGCATGTTGCTTGTTCACTGTATTTTGGAAGCATAAATCGAGTTGTAACTCTACCCCTATATCTAACAGCTTTCATAGTAATTCGTTTGAATTATTTTCTGGTAGACTACACAGAAGTTAGCTGCTGTACGAGTAATAAGTATTACGGGATCATGAATAAGTTACACCGCTATATTCGATACGTATCGAATATTAATTATAAAGCGCACAGCATTATACAAGTGTTCCGTCGTGACTTCCGCAACTGGGAACACGCACTTTATTATGTCGATGACACGAGGCGATTTCAGTCGCAGATATTCTCTCTCCGCCTGCATATCGGGGTAGGAAGATCGAGCTCATAGTCTTATGAAGTCAGATCTTAGAGTCGCTTCCACTAAACCAAGGGCGTGGACATGGATGTTGTATATTCCAGGCAATCCAATTAGATCTAGGATTTCGAAGCCACTGAAGACGTGTGAGGGAATGCAAGGAGATACATGAGACAATCCAAAGGGATTTTCTACTCCGTTGCGAGTAGATGCGAAATAATCGATGAAGATCCGAGGTGATCTAATGATATAAGAAAAAAAGTAAGGAGGTCTAAGGCAATCCGTGTATCTGCGCATGCACAAACTCCATACTTCTGTCGGAATTTTTGTCCAGGGTTGCATATTTCACTGATTTTTCAGTAGAAATTATAATTTTATCTCGTAGACACTGAAGATACAAGGAGATCCGAAATAATATGAAAAGATCCAAGAGCTTTCAAAGACATTCCAGGATCATGGGGATTCAAGGATTTCCAAGGAGATCCAAGGGCATTAATAAACTCAGTTCTTTCTCTTTAAGTTTGTTATTTTTTGCATAAATATGTTTCAATTTTGTTGAAGCAGCTTTAGATATATTTCATCAATCCACAGGGGTCTGTGGATATATGTCTGCCTAAGCTACACAATATTGATGCGAATAACGCATGTGGTTTCAAGAACACGGTGTCACATGCATAGATCTCGTGCATAACACATTGTACTTCATAGTTACGGGGAGCAGAATAACCTCTACACCTGTCTGTGAACTTATTTCTGCCTGAAATGGATCATACTGATGTGGATAACGTGCGGCTTCAACAAGATCCCGCCCATGCCAGGCTGCCAGGGAAAATCAATTGCAGCATGAGACATTTCCTAGTCATATGCTCTTTCGTTTCGATGACCCTCTAGCTAGATCGTCTGATATAACACGATTTCCTTTTACGGAGTTATTTAAAGTCAAACGTCTATGCCAATAAGCTCACAGACACTCGAACATTGGAAAAGGAAATTCAACGCTGCTTCAATAAAATTCATCCGCGTTTCTGCAAAACGGTCATGCAAAATTTCGACAAAAAAGTGCGTACGGCCTGCAAGACCAAGAAGGCTATTCGCCTGAGGTGCTAATTTATACATAACCATATTCTGTGTACTTCAGAATTTAGTAAAAAATAAAAAGCTGATGAAGAAAAACTGTATTTTCGATTTAACTCAAATATTTCCTGAATTATGAGACATCGTTTATTTTAAGGGTTGTGTCTGTCAAATGTCTATCTATTTTTCAAATTGGCGCTTCGACTAGGACATCCAAACGTTCATGAGCCAAATATACATACATAGTAAAAGTATCGATATTTTTGAGGCATCAAAGTATAATTTGCTTTTCTAGTGTAAATACTAAGCATACCAATTACCATACACATATACTAGGCGTATTTGTTTCATGAATTATTAATTTACCTGTCTTCATAGATAATATCTACAACTACATACATGGAATAAAGCATACACATAAACATCACAAATGTTTAAAAGTGCATTTAAAAATTTATATAGTTAATCGTTGTTTTCAACAGTTACGCGAATAGCAAATAGCTGACCTTTCTAAGATCTTATTGTGCTTTCAACGTAATGATTCAATATTATTTGCTGTAAAGAATATATTGCCTGTTAGATAATTGAACGTTATTTATTGTAAACAATAAAAGTCTAGTAGTTTATCACCCGCAATGACGTTATTTATGAAGGTAGGTCGTGTCGAACGTTTGTTTTCCATGCCGACAATGAGAAGTTTCCTGTTAAGTACCACATCATGTGACGATTTTTAAGCACGGCGTAAAAACGCGCATCATGTATGAAACATTGCAAGTTTTAGTGTTAAATTGATGTTGGTTATCAGGGCAAAGCGTCACAGCCAGGAGTAAACACACATTTCATATCTCTGTTACGGAATAGATTTATGACCTAACGCCCATTACGACTTATTTATTTAAATCTCAAAAATCTCATTAAAATATACTCATCGATCCTGGATATATTGTTTTTCCCTCGTGCCTTTCTAATAAAAAATAAAAGTAACTTAGCTCCATATTCAAAGGCGACCTAAACCAGATCTGCTACAGTATGCCGCAAGCGGCGTTTAACTAAAAACTACATTACGTCGTAACGTAACGTAACATAATAATAATAATATTTCTTTATTTAACGAATCATCTAGCGACGACATGGAATGCGCCATAAGAAAAAGAAATAAATACCGGTATAATGTACAAACATCAAAAAAATACGGGACGACACTAGGATAAAAAGATACAAATAACTTCATATTACTTTTTAAAATATGCGAAAAACTCGTCAAAACAGTAAAAGCAACCTTCCAGTAAAATGTTTTTTACCTTTCTTTTGAAGCTATTCAACGACGTGACTTCCCGATGTTGGCTGGAAGCAGGTTAAAAAGCCCAGCATAAACTGGAGACTTTTTATAGTACATGTGATAAAATTTATTGTTGATGAAATTGTCTTTGTTACGAGTATTGTAATTATGCATATCGGAATGTCTTTCAAATTTGTTTTTATTTTGAAAGAAATACATATAACATGTAGCTTGAATAAATAGATGCCGTAGTAAGAATTCGATAACATTTGAATATTTCCCTGCAAGATGACTGATAGTAGATTTTAAAAATTCAACCAGATGATACATTTTTAGAGGATAAAAACACGCTGGACGACTTTAGCCTGCCCCCACAAGACAATACAATATGAAATAGCACAGTATCTTAACGCATAATAAATATTAAGCCTTCTGTATAGTTTACATATTAGAACGCCACTCTTAAGTACAATATGGGATTTTTTTCGAGAAGTGTTCATGTGAGGTATTTCGCTGCATGTGTACATATACGCTACACAATTATTGCATATAAATTCTTGGAATTAACCATAATTCGTGATGCAATGAACCAATCCCTTTCTTGGTTTTTACGTGCTTTTTTTCAGTTCGCTGTTGATTTATAATAACCGCGTGGATCGTTCCTGGTATGAACATATGACATGGCAGGTGCGGATCTAGAGATGGCAATGGTAGGTAGCTTTCACAAAAATTAATGTACTAACTATACACAGCCGTGGTCCAGCTGTGTTCCCGATCAGATATACAGGGTGACTTTGAAGTTGAGTCATTAATTTTCAGATAATGATTGTAGAAGGAAGATAAACCAAAATATGTGTGTAAAAATAAAAAAAAAATTAAAAAAAATTTACCTTGTTTTATAAAGTATCCTCCCGACAAGTATTTCAGTGCGGACCTGTATTTGATCGTGAGGTCTTGGAGCACCGGCATGCCGTCACCTGATTCACGAGCCCGTTGTACTACATTAACAAAGGCACGAGGGGTTGGTTGCAATCGATTGGGAAACCGATCCGCATAAACATGTGCCATTTTTTATTTCGTTTGAGCCACGCAACAGACACCACTATTCACTCACGCGTTACCGACTAACACTGACTGTATACAAATGAATAAAATAATTGTAAAAACATCGTTCCAAATTATTATTGAGACAGGGCGGTACTCAAACTTCCAAAGGGCTATACCTTTGTTACTTTAATTTTACCAGAAAAATGGTAAAGGAAAAAAAAATTCTTTTGATCAGATCTACTCACTGTTAAAATAAATGACTCAACTTCGAAGTCACCCTGTATAGGCATGCTGAAGTTATATAGGAAGTACTCATTCGAAATCCGTGCGACTAACAAATCACGGCTTAAACTTTAATCTGCTCTTTCATATTTTAGTGCAAAATTCAAAAGGAGCATCCTGTATATTTTTACAATGTTGTGGTCGCTCTTGGATTGGAGACTTTATCGATCTATTCTATTCCTGTCCCTTAGTTAATTTTCTTCTACTTTAGAGATAATGATCCTGTTATATAGCACAATCTAGCTATAATAAACATTTTATTATTGGTTTCAAGACTGTGATGGAAAATTTCACGATCTTCATCCATTAAGCATTGTAATTATAAATGGGGGGAAACAGCTTAGGAGGATCTAATGAAAATTTGGAACGCGGTTCTAAGAGCCTCATAAATAATTTTTACTATGCTAGAAAGTTGCTATTACTGGGGTGACAGCGCAATGGAGGTTCTAAACAGCTTTATATACAGTATGTTATAGTAGTACACAACTAGAACAACATAAAGAATATAAATGACGACACTAAGCACATTACTACTATTTAGCAGAAACTACTTCTAAGCTGGTCTGCTTGGCTAGTAGCACAAAGCCAACACTGCCACAAGTATAACAAGTATAAGTATTGTTACCTGGTTGAATGTTTTATTCGAAATAGTTTGAGTTATAACCTATTCGTAGACCATTTACGCCCCGGCACAACAAAGATGCAGGCTCGGCGCATCGCCGGCACGCCGACGCCGGCGATGCAGATGAAACTGAGAATATTTTTCTCAATACTTCCTCTTCCACTATGTCTCCTCCACGAAAACGTGACAAGAAGGGACATTTGAATATTCAGGCAAAAAAAAATGTCCTTGGTTTATAAAAGCAAAATTTTAGAGCATCTTGAAACGAAAATTCATGATATTGAAAGATATGTGGCGAACAAAACAGGCTTATGTCCTAAGACAATTTTCAATATTATTAAAGAATACATAAAAAATCGTCTCCACCACACAAGAGGCTGCATTACACGAAGCTGTTGGATACAGTTGATAATTTGTTATCTATCACATTGGCAGTGAAGATGGCTTGTTGCCCACTTCCCTATGGGTATTTGAGTCAAACAAAACGACCTTCTCATATGAAGAATTGGACGGGAGTTCATTTGAACGATGGTTTGAAGAAACGCTCCCAAAGCTTGACGACAATGCCGTCATTGTACTTGATAATGCTGCATACCACACTAGGAAACTAGAAAAAATTCCCACAATGTCCACAAGAAAGGCAGAAATTCAGCAATGGCTCTTGTCAAAAGACATTAGTTCCAATTAAAATATGGTCAAAGCAGAATTTATCCATCTAGTCAGGCAGCACAAATATAAATATATTCTTAATGTTATTGACGAAATGGCTAAAAACAAAAATAAGACGTTTTAAGACTACCCGCTTATCACTGCGAATTAAATCTCATTGAAATGATTTGGGCAAATATAAAAAAACTGTGTGGCTTCAAACAATAGAACATTCAAATTTTCTGAGGTGAAAAATTTGTTTTATGAAGCTGTCGACAAAGTGACGGCAAACCATTGGAAAGATTACATCCGTCATGTTCAAGAAGCAATCGAAACAAAGAAACAAATTGAACCCCTAATAATTAATATTAATTAACCATTCGGACGATAATTCAAGTACTTCCAGGGAATAAAGAATTGTGAAAAGTGTGTGCACTTCGTTCTGTAAAAATAATCATTTATTTTGTTAGATTATTCCAAGACCATTGAGGAAAATACAGACCTGTACTATCTCGCTTTTATGTTTTGTCTGGGTGTTAATGGACTACGAATAGGGTATAGTTTGTTTAGCAACGCTTGTGTCTATCACAAGGATAACTCTGTCTCTCTGCACGAGCCGTCTTCTGGATTTGCCTTAAAACGTAAAAAATGTTTTTGAAGATATTGAATAAGAAATAGAAGTGCTCAGTCGGGTAACATGTTTAAAATGGGCACGCTTACTTTTCATCTCTGTAACCATGACCGACCGCAGACAGCGCTGTTTCGTGCTGATTAGGTCCATTAGTTTTCGAAACAGATTAACGGAAAGCAAACAAGTGGGTATGGTCGTTTAAAAAACTCAAAACAGTGTGCGGAGGTAGACGAAAAATCTCCAGTTAGCGATCGTCAGATTTTTCGCCTAGCTCCGAATAAGTAACATGCGAAACAACATCTCATGAAGCAAACTAATTTATATATTCAGAAAACGTCAGTTCCTGGGTCTAAATCCTCGATATATACCACATAAAAATGTTTGATCGGTTTCACAATTTACAACACGCATATCTAACGCCTGAGGCAGTATTTTCGCTGCTCGCTTGACGATAATTCCATATCTATCGCGTATATTACACGTCCATCTACAGTCTCAGTGTTAGTCTGAGAGACATACGATAGAATGAGGGTGAGAAGACTCTGAATCCGACACCAATTTGACGTTAAGACCCATGGGAGATCCAAAACGACCAATTTTCTACCTCAAACTCAACCCCGAGAAGCTTAACAACCTTTTGACGACCATATTTCGAAATTAGCGCGCCAAATTAACCAAGCGTACAACGTTTCACTTGTGAAAAGCTGTAGAAAACGGAAAGTTTGCAGTACAAAGTCAATACATATATCTGGAAATTTTCAATGAGTAAATTTTCAAAAACTCCTAAATATCTTTAGAAAACTTATTTCTTGGGTAAATCGAGTAGATGCCGAAGCCGATGTTTTTTTGACGTTACTGCCCACGAGGAATTTAAAACATGTGCATAAAATTCGGCCCTACGACATTTCACAATTTTTTACGGCCATATTTAGGTAAATCACGTTTCATTCGTTTGAAACAACGGCTAGGAAATTGTAAATTTTCTCATTTTCTTCTGCGTTTATGTGATCTCAGTTACTTGAATAAATCGGGTGTACAATTCACTTGTAAGATGAGCTAGCAAACATGGAGGTTTTGCCCTACAAAGTCCTCTGATATTTGTTGTATCCGCATGAGAAAATCTTCAAAAATCTCTGCTTATCTGTGATTTATGGAAGAATTCTAGATCCCAAGGTGCATCAAAAACTACCCATTTTCTAACTCAAGCTCGGACCCTCGACACTTTACAATTTTCTGATGGTCGTATGCAAATTCAGAGCCCCAAATCACCCTCGTGTACCAAGAGAAAGTGAAGTTGTCACCCTACGAAAATTTGTAAAAACCCCTGCATATCTGTTTTGAACAAAGGACTCGCTTCCTGAGAAATCGGGTACGTTTATTCCCGATTCGCGGCCATATTATGTGAAATAATCGCTATGACTGCAATCTAAACGCCATACTTGTCACTTGTGTACTAGCTAGTCGCTAGCCCTGGCCACGCGTACTCGCTGTCAACGCCACCTACGGAGCAATGGTACAACGACCTATAGTACAGAACTTACAGTTTAGGCCACAGTGAGCCACAGCGCATAGCTGAGTAATTTGAGATTTAGGCAACATACACAGCTACTATAAGTGAACATGAAGTGATTGGTATCTAGTTCCAAAGTGCCAATTATGGCGATCAGATTTTAGATCGCTATACCTGTCATTTTGCAGCTACTAAGAAAATTTTCCATTTGTTCAATCAATCACAAACTCTAAAAAGGGAGAAAAATAATTTTAAAGTCAACATTTCTTCGTATAAAACCACGCAACCTCGAAGCAACAATCGAATACCCTCGTATGAATTTATCCGGTCAGAGAGGAGCCGTAGGTACAAATGTCCACAAAACCAAGCTTTGTCAACTGTCAGCAGCAGTATTCCCCAGACTATTATATGCGCGCCTCAATTCAGGATGCATCGGTGGTGTTACTGGTGCTGATCCAATTTTAAAAATTGTGCATATCTACCTGTCTCCGGCAGATATATTTCATTTGTAACGTTGCTGGGAACGCCAGAGAGGTATCGTTAACAGTCATTCGAATATTATTTGGGAAACCATTCGGGAAAAATAAAACAGTTTGAACTACTGAAAGTTAGAACTATTTGTGTTGAAAACATATTACTATTTCTAAAAATGCTCAAATTTTAGAGTAACTGTTCATTTCTCAGTAATTCTAAGGCATCAGCAATTTATTTTTTTATTTTTTGAAAAATAAAGTTTTGAGCACACAATCGCCGCTTCTGTTCGCTGGCAAATAAATACTAGCTCCCGAATTTGCACGTCGCGCGCTAGTGTTTGTTTTGACGGGGAATAAATGGCATTTGAATACGCTTTAATAACATGAAATCTACACTCATGACCTTGCTTCCAGCGAAGGATTAAGTGTATCAGTATCCAACCAAGTGCCGCACCTCAAATAGGCAAACCAATCTGTTTGTTTATAAATCGGATTTG